TCAGTGTTTCTCAAACTTGGCAACTTTAAGATGTGTTCCCCATGCTGGCTGGGGAATTCTGGGAGTTGAAGTCCACACATCTTAAAGTTGCCAAGTTTGAGAAACACTGATCTAGTGGGATCGAGAAGAAGGACCTTCTCTGTGGTGGCTCCCTCCCTGTGGAACATCATCCCTGCAGAGATAAGACTGGCCCCCACCTTGATGCTCTTCTGCAAGACGCTGAAGACATGGTTTTGCCAGCGGGCCTGGAGATCCCAGGTCAATCTGGAGCCCATTAAATGGCTAGTGTAAATGTGTTGTTGTCGCCGGGGGGTGGGGTGGGGTTCATGTAGCAGGTTTTTATTTGGGATTTTTAATCCTGAAAGCCACCCAGCATCACCATGAGTGAGTTGGGCGGCCATCTAAATTGCATCAATAAATAAACAAATAAATAGTTTCCCTGTTGCATAAACCACAGGCAGTGCTCATGAATGTGAAAGCTTGCAAGACGACACAACAGCAAGACCCTGGTTTCTCTGCTGCAAAGAAAGCAGCAGCAGGATGATCAGGGAAGACCCAGATACAAAACAGATCATCCCTTTGCCCAGATGTCCTATATTCTTAATATTCTGGCACCAATCTTTGAAGCAAAAGCCACCATGACCAACCATTCATCGAAGAACATTCCCCCATTCCCCCATTTCTATTTTGAGCTCAGCAGAAATGTTGACATAATTGCTGGGAAAACAACGTGGAGCCCCTTCTTGCCAAAAATCACTCTGAGTTCAAAAGGATTTGCTCCTTGATGAGAAGGTATAGAATTACGACCTAAAAGCCCTAACGGTTCCACATTGTTTCCTGGTTTAGGGAAAAGTGAACACTGACGTTTTGGTACGTGTCGGCTTTTGAATTCACACGGGATTAACTTCCAGTCCTGGCAAACACGCACCCAGGCAAACTCAACACCTTGGCAAGCTGGCTAAGCAAACGGAGAGACTTTCTTTCCAAAAACAGGGAGGGAAGGGGGGTGTTGAACTTTACCCTATGTATATTTAGCGTTTATTTTAGCTAATGAGGAATTACAGAAATTGGTCCATTGCGTGTAGAGGCATCAGTTTGAGAAAGGGAAGATGTAGGGGTGTCTGGGCATAAAAACCAGGAGGAATTTCTATCACACTTGACTTTTTGGACCTGAGGGCACCCCTGGCAATGTGAGTACATCAGCACCAGGTATCGCAACTCATGAATGGAGTAAAGAGAAGGTACCTCCCTATTCACAAAAGCCAAACACCGTGTGCCGTGAGAAACCATGTTCCATGGGTGTGTGGGAAACGTGGTGACAA